ACGCCCATGCACACTCAGTAAGACAGGAACCCAGCATGGGGCAGGGACATGGGGGACAGGGACATGGGGGGCAGGGACATGGGGGGCAGGGACATGGGCGGCAGGTCCTTCCCTACGCAAAGAACTCTCACAAACAGTTAGTGTGGAGTGAGGGAGAACAGATGTCCTTTAAGGGAGTGACTGGGTACGCTGACTAGAAAGAAGTTGACTCAAGGGGAATAGTGGACGGAACAACTAATTTTTCAGTGTGGGTGACGGCAACTTAGGTTTCTCCTCAGCGTGAAGCTGTGTTTCCCTTGGATGAAATTCCTGACGTATTTTGGTTCTAGCCAAGTTTTAGTAAAGGTCAAACGTCAAACAGAAGAGAAGCCTAGGTCCCTTCCTTAAAAGAACTGGTTTCAATATCCTGTGTTGATTTGCTGAGTGGTTCAAGTTGTTTGGTGTCTGCTGAAAGAATAAAATACATATTTAAACGTCCTCCTTAGCAAGGCTCAGTGGAAAAGGAAATAAAAGTGTGTGTGAATAGAAAAGCCAGAAAAAGCAGCTTTACAAGTGTTGTTGCTCCAAACAAATGGCTTTACGAGGCCAGTCTACCGGTTGTCTTTGTAAGAGGTAAATTAGGAAAAGCTATAGGCACTGTTTTCCGGTCCCACGGAGTAAAGCCAGTATCCATCGAATAATGACTCCACGTTCCGAATTTCTCAGAAACTTCTCCACAAGTGCAGCTGTGAACCCGGCTTGTGTTTATTAAGCTTTCCAACCACCCATGACAGAATTCCCAAGGAGCATTCAGGTGCTCAAACAGACAGGAAGGAAGCAGCCAGCATCCATGCACGGTTTGGACTTGGTCCTGGTGGGCGAGGCCATTTACCTGGGATTATACAGGGACCTGAGACTGAGGGGATCCGCCGACATTCTGCAACTCTAAGCTAATTTGTCATTCGACTGAAAAGTAACTATGGTTTAATTTGTTATACTCGTCCTTGAACAGCTTACAACATAACTTGTTTTTAAGACAGTCATTTCAACTCCTTAATGCAATCTACTCAGAACTTGGATGTCAATTTTGAAAACGATAAAGAGTATTTTCATGGGAAACATAATCTGCATATTGTCAAGTGATTTGAAACGCACAGGAAATTTTGTAAGCGGAAAATTTGACTGTTTACCAATAATTAATAATAATAATAATAATTGGACAAAAAATGTAAACACAAATATCCAAGTGAATTTTCATACTGTGCTTAAACTAACATGCAGAGAACCACGCACAGCACATTTAATAATCAACAGTGCAAAAACTGTTGGAAAATAAGTGCTTGGACCTTGGAAATGCAAAAATGTCTGCTATTGCCAACACTGAAGCATCTAATTTTAATAAGCAACTACTTTACAAAAACAATTACAGATAAAATGAAATATATGAATCCTCCCATCCTGAAAAGGTAAAATAAAAGTGCATTTAGCTACGTTAATGCTTTGGCGTGAAGAACTGATAAAATATGGTTAAAAAGAATGGATTCCAACGTGTGGATGGGAAATTTTAAATTATACGAGATTATACTTGTCGGTATGAATCCGAAGCATTAAGCCAAGAACCACAACAACACAAGTCTTCAGAAAATCTTGGATATGAATGTTTCATTTGTTTGAAAAGGTCAGAATTTCAAAAACATAGGAATTAATATGTGATTGGATTATAAAGTGGCCTATCAATCAGTCACTGTGAGACGGGAACTAAGTATGCCAAGTATAATGTAGGTAGATCCTGAGACCATGCCACGTAGATTTTCTCAGTGGCAGTCGGAAGTTGCAGGCCTGCACAGGCCAACGCAGACGGTGGTCACTGCTGCTGTTTCATGATTTGAAGGCCTCTGTCTTGTCCTCCAGATGGTAATTTTCAGCCCTCCTTCGGACCTTCTGAATGCCGGAATCATTCCAAGATCTCCTCAGACATGTTCTCTGATCCTTACAGGGATTGGTGTAAATGTCCTGCTTAGGGCCAATGCAGTCACAAGCATTCTTCCCAAGGAGAGGCTCCTCATACACTCCTGGAATATCATTTACTGTGTGGACACAGAGACATTTTGGGGTCAGATTGTAGAAGCACAAAAATTACAAAGTTATAAAGACAGTGATGCCTTTCTGGAGATGAATGTGGTAGAGAGGAGGTCTCATGAAAGAGCAGACGGTCAATCTTGAGTCTGGTCATGTTTGAGCTTGGACCTATGCTGGTCCATGGAAGAGATGAGCAGCAGATGAGGGCTAAGAAAATAAAATGATGCAGCCGGGCATGGCCCTTGGGAGGCAAAGGCAGGTGGATCTCTGCGAGTTCGAGGCCAGCCTGGTCTGTATAGTAAGTTCTAGGCCAGCTGGGGCTAGAGGGAGACCCTGTCTCAAAAAGACCTGAAAATATTAGATAAAAAAACTATCATATAGAAAAATATTATTGTAGCAACTACGTAAAATACATCAATAAAGGTCTTGAAAGGAGGTGGCTCGTTAAGCCGGATAATGATGCTCCTCAATCCAACGGTCCCCAATTGCCTCTCCCTGCGTCCCTGTTCAGCACGGAAGAAGCCAGAGCGGTCTCCGTCCCTGTTCCCTATTGGCAGTTTGGGGAACCCCTTCACAAGATGGTGTGATAAGAATAGGAGGTAGGCACTGGCTAGGTAGTCAGGGTAAAAAGACCACAAAGCAAAGTAGCCAGTTTCCTGGCTAAGTCAAAATGCTCTTGGGCCTGTTAGCAACATACTCTGTTCCAAAGGCCAAAAATGTCTAAAGTATTTGGGAGCTTGAATCTAATCCTTAAAAGATTTTAGGGTTACCTCTTCAGAGGGGGGAATGTTAGAGTACCCAAAAGCCCCATAAAAAAAACAAATCAAAGAAGAAAAATTTAAAAAAGCTTACAGAACCTGTTGTGGGATACATCTTTATGATGTAGTAGTGAACTGAGCCTGAGAGGTAATCAAAATAACGTAATTTTCCACTAGAATTATGTGATAGGGTGTTACTGCCAAAGGCCCTAAAATATTTGCCCAAGGCATAAAGAAACTGGCGTGCAAGTGAGCTGAAAGGCTTTTTTTCAGTAAGATATCCAGAAGCTAATGTTGAATTGGAAAGTTCCGGTCAATTAGAAAACTATTCTACAGCTTGATTTTAAAATAAATTTTCACTTTTAGGCATTGAGTCCATCAGTGCCACTCACAACCCTGTGAACAAAATGAATGTGAATACTTAGGTTTCACGTAGATCAGTAAGCAATAGTTTTACATATATATATACCTATATCTATATTGACATCTTTCATGTTACTATTCATGCCATATTAATAAGTACTTGAATTTCAGAGATTGAAAGAACAAATATTTGAATATCATCAGGCATTTCTTACTAAAATAAGAGGTCAGAGTACACAGATTCAATTAGACAGTTATAAGCATTGATTCCTTTAAAAGTATCTTGTAACTGTTATTTATATTAAACAGGGTAGAATTTCTATAAAGACACACATTTAGCTTCTTCATCTGCGTTCAAACAACTCCAGAGGGCAAACACAGAACATAAGATATTTGGTATGGCCACATTCATTTGGAAATACCGTTTAAACGTGGAGATACTAGATCTAAAATTGCTTGTCCTTGAGCCGTGTCCTGCAAATAAAGACTCCACTCTGACATTAAAGGTCAATTCTTCATCGCAACTAAACCTTTTATTGCATGCAAAGCTTATTACTTGAAAAACAAAAGATCATGTAGCCTCCATGAGGGCCAAGGAGGAAGTTAACTTGTTATCTTGAGAAAACCATTGGCTGAACCCACGTCAGCCCCTCGCCCAAACCGAACCGTATAAAACGTGCGGTCAGTTCACATCTTTCACCACCAGTCGTCTGCTGTCATCTTCTGAGGAAGGACCAAGGACCAGCACCGTCATGATGAAGCTTCTGCTGCTAGTGCTTGTGCTTGGTCTGGCTCATGCTGATGAGGCAAGTTCATTAGGTTTGTGTTTCTGTGTCTGTGTGTGTGTGTGTGTGTGTGTGTGTGTGTGTCTCTGTGTGTGTGTGTGTGTGTGTGTGTGTGTGTGTGTGAACAGAATACGTTCATGAACAGGATTTGCAGTTCTATCAGTCTGTGCTCGCTCCTACACATGAATCTACTTTACCTTTCAACTATTTAAATGTGAAAAGCGTAGGTGTGTTCACAGAGGGTTTGGAGACAGTGTGAGCTGTTCGCCAAACTCACAAGGGGGTATTTCCACGTTAAGCTTACGCTGGGCTTTGCCCGGTGTGATCCTGTCATCCTGGAAACGCAGCTCTGAAACACTCAACGAGATCATATCGATGGGTCGATTTCATAATGATTTGTACTCAATGATCCAATGAATTTTTTTTCAGATGTCGGGGGTCTGGTTTACGGCTGCCATAGCAGCTGACAACGTGGACACGATCCAGGAAGGGGGACCTCTGAGGCTCTACATGCGTGAGCTCCAGTGTCAAGCAGAATGTCAACAGCTCAAGGTCACCTTTGAAGTCTAGTAAGTGACGTTGCTCTGAACCTCCTGACCTCCCATGTTTGACTTCGGACACGTGGCCAGTTCTCTCATTTACGGGAAAACCTCTAGATTATGCTAAAACATAGAACGCTTCATCTACCACAATACAAACATTTTCTTTCCTGACGAGTTGACACCACCTTCACCACCTGCCAAGTCAATCCCACTTCTCCAATCCCCCTGAGTGTTTACTAACAGAAGCTTCCGTTGGACGCACTGTGCTTGGATTTTATTTTACATGAAATATAGAAAGCATTTAGGGAAGGAACTATTATCCTTCAAAGCATGCATGGGGTAAATTCGAGGGGCCTAATAGCATATTATTTCTTCAGAGATTCAGCAAGGTCTACTACAACAGGGACATGTAAGCCTAGTTTTCTAAATCTGTTTTCTTCAACTGAATGCTAGCTGATACTCCTGACCATTGAATGACTAGTTCAACCCTGAGCAGTAATTAAAAATATTTAGAATTCTATTCTATAAACATGGATGTAAGTATTGCATTCCATAATGAACAATTAACATATATACTTGCAAGCCTGTATCTGTTATCCGTTGCCTAAAATCAAGGTACTTGATATGGTAAAAAAGAGATGTTCAATGGATAATCATGGTTGGATAAAGGATCTATCAGATCTCTCAGATTATATGGAAATTTCTTGTATATATAAAGTTATCCCTATGATTAAAACTTGAACTATGTCTTGCAAACAAGAATCAGCAAAAAAATGAGAAGTGGAAAAGCTACAGGGTATGAAAAATTAGGTGTAGACTTTTGTTATCCTCTGTAGAGAGGTGATCACACATGTCTAACAGACATTTGTGTGGGGAGAATTTTAAATCTATAGATGCGATTTTCTGCTTTGAAGACAGAAAAATTACTGCAGAAACATGCCGCCCTTGAAACGTCTCCCCTCATTTCTCACGTTGGGAAGATATCATATAGGGATAAACGGATAGATTTCAGGAAGATTTCCTATGGAATGAATAAACACAGAGATTAGTGGGATTTCCCTGTTCCAAAACTCTTAATCTTTGGAACACTGGATTGGTTGTTTTGTGTTAAAAATTTTTTAAGATGTTCACCTGTTAAAATTTAAGACCAAGAAATTAAAAAATATTAAGCCAAAAACATCACTAATGTCAAAAATGAAGTTAAACATGAAAATAG